TTAGAGGCCATTGGAGTGAATCATTAGGCTGTAGAATCATGGGCTGTCTGTCCGCAAGGCTGCAGAGAAGATCAAAGGATTGGCGGAAATGAGTGTGACGATGACAGTTGTTGAAATAACAAACCCTGAAATCCAAACAAGTTAGGGAATTGAAATAAGGGGGATGCAAGCCTGACTGAATAGAGGCAAAGGAGGAAATGCAGGTTTGATCATGCTGAGTATGGGTAGAGCAAGTGTGAAGGTCATGTGATGGAGAGGGTATTTGGTGGTCCACATGGAGCAATGTAGACAGATGCAGGAGGTCAAAGGTGGAGCAGGTGGCTGTGGATGAAGTTAAAGCAAAGAGAGGGCACATATGGTCAAAGGGATCAAAGGTCTGTGGCGCTGACATAGGAAAAGCTTCCTCCAAATCGAAGCTGAACTTGCCCTGAGCTTTGGAAGGAAACTGATCCCAGGCTGATCCTTCCAGAGACCGTGGGTGTGGACAGCATCTCAGAGCATGGGGACCTTGAAATGAGTGAGCAAGGCCAGCAGCTGAAGGCACCTATGTCGGTATTGTAGCCTTTCCATGAATGTGTAATCCATACAATGCACTGTCAGGTCTAATTAAAAGTGATTTTTAGAAAGTGTTTTTATTAGCGTGAGATCACTGTGAGGGAGATATTTGAGTTCTTACTTTTGTTATTGTTTTAAGAAAAATAACATTTTAGATGCTAGGACAGTACCTTCTAAGACCTCTGTGCTATCGATTTTTGACTTTTTTTGTTCCAGTAGAGGGCACTCAAAGCTCAAAGAAATGAGCACAATCGTTTTCACAGTCATTGTTTTATGTAATTAAAATATATATTAAATGGAAAAAAAAGAAATTCAGATTTGATAAGAATTACTCTTCATGTGTACATTTTTTAGAGTGAAATGTGGTCTTAAAACTGACTCAGTGAAGACAGGCCCCTGTGACACACTTCCTGCATTTTGCTCAGCACACACTAGAAGTAAAAAGGAATTTCTCCCAAGAAACAAGGTAGACTTTCCAAGTACCAAGCCTTTGAAAAAGGCTTGACCTTCAAGTTCCTTTTTCATTCTCATCTGGACTTCTTTGAGAAGAGTTTTCAATATACTAGGAAGGCCGTGGACCAGTCTCCCTCGGTGAAACCAATGTGAGAAAGTGCTAAAGAGAGAAACAGGCTTAGGACTGAAGAAGCCTTCTTTTGTCCTCCAGCTCAAATGAGCTAGCCAGCAGCAAGGCTAAAGCCACAGTGGGCAGCCCACAGAAAGTTCTTAGAAAGATTTTCATTAGATCTTGTGTTTTAGGGAGCTGAGGAGACACAGCACTATCAGTGCTGGCATGAAGACTATCCCCCCAAGCACAGGATTAGCTGTGGCTCCTCTGAAGTGGCTCCAGCCTGGGCTTCTTCATTCACTTTACAGACAGTTCAATTCGTCCACCCTGCAAGACGGAAGTCTGAGCAGCTATGCAAAAAAAAAAAAAAACTTTTAAAAAGTACATTCCTAATAACATGGAGTTGTAAGAAGACCCTGAGGTTGTTAAAATATTAGTAATGGAAATTAAGCAGCTTTTAGATTGGGGGTTCAGTGTAGAATAGATGTTTGTGACTGTTGTAATTGTCTAGCATGTCTAGCCCTGCTGTGCATTATGGGAAGACTGGTGACAGCATCTCAGTGTTTATTCTTTCTCTCAGTTTTCTGACATTTTAGTTGTAGGTGATGAATTGTAAGGTTGAGTCTAATTTCTGACCCTCTGGCTAAATATTTTCCCTTACCCTATTAGACAAACTAAGTATCTTATTTAAAATGACAATAAAAGTTTTAAGAAAAATCAATCAAATGCAAGTGAATGCCAGTGGCCTCAAAATAAATGATTTCCTATGAAGCAGTACAGAAGAGTATAAAATCCAACATGTCCCAGTCAGGAAGTCTGATGCCTTTAATTGAGACAAGCTACTTTTTCTCTATGAGTCTCAGTAACTCGCTCTCTACCCCAAGCATATAATCCCCAGAATCTGTGTCTTTAGAGATAGGATAGCTTTTTTATTTTGGTCTTTTTGAGACAAGGTCTCCCTGTAGCCCCAGCTGTCCTGGAACTCACTATGTAGACCAGGCTGGCCTTGAACTCACAGAGATCCACTAGGCTCTGCCTCCCAAGCATTAAAGGGATTAAAGGGTAGCGCCACCAGGCCTGCCCGGCAGGATAGCTTTTTATCACTAAGAATGCATTCCTCTGCCATTGACAAAAGATTTGGCTGTGGGGCTGGAGAGATGGCTCAGCAGTGAAAAGCACTTGCTGCTTTTCCAGAGGACTTGAATTTGGTTCCCAGAACCCATGCTGTGTGTGTGTGTGTGTGTGTGTGTGTGTGTGTGTGTGTGTGTCTCACAACCACCTGTCATGTAACATCAGTTCCAAGGATTTGACGCCTTCTTCTGGCCTCCGAGGGCACCTGCACATACTCCCACACAAATACATGTAAATTTAATAAAATCTCAAAAAAAAAAAAAAAAACAAGACCTAGCGAGAAGTGGCTGAGTAAATAAAGGGGAAAGTTATCCTAGGGAACCAGAAGTCAAAGGAGTCCAGTCGTTGCTCAGTGATGTCAGCTGTCCTACAATGATCCTGACGTTTTCTTCTTCAAGGTCACAGGATGGCTGTTCTCAGTTGTAGTCTCATACAGTAACATTTAGAGACACAAAACAGTCTCTTACTTATTTCTATTTTCTTAAGGGAAAAACAAAAACTTTTCTGTAAATTCTAAACTTTACCTCCTTATCAAGAACAGTGTAACATGTCCAATCCAAGTAAGTCATTACTTCAGGAAATAAAATCACTCTTTAGCCTGTATTGATCATTATTTACCTGTAAGGCAGGAGATAATTCTGGCCCACTTTGGAATACAAGGTGGTCATGAAAAACACCAAGTTTCAGAAAGGTTGGGGTGGAGCAAGTAGCTGCTGAGTAGCGGAATGCTCAGTTTCTGTCATTTCCTCAACTTAATTTGCATGTAAATCTGTATATAAACTCTTGCTCATATGTAAAATGATAAACATTTTTATCAACTAACACAGTTCCAAAAGCTACTAATGACGATCCACAGTACAGACTGCATCATTACTGACACCTTGCTAAAAGGTAATAGTGGAGAGCAGAGGACTGTAGGGTTGTCTTCCAAACTCATCAAGATCAAATTGTAATCTTCACCCACTCAGTTCTTCCTGTGCCTTTCCTATGTTCTCCCATCTTTCCATTTCAGGGGATTGACTCAAGATTATAGTTACACAGGTCCACTCTGATGCTTTGTCATTCCTTCCCTTAATCACACAGCCACATGAATAAAACCAGAGATGGTTCATGACCAGGAGAAAGGGTATATGGCTTCTATTCTTTAGCCTGTAGCTTCTACCTTCACTGTGTTGATTAGAAACCCTCCTGTTACAGACAACGGAAAGACAATTGCTTCTGCAGGGTGGAGCTAGGCTTCCTGGTCCTTTGAGTTCAGCTCAGCTGTAGTTGCAATGTGAAGTTCTAGGACACTGTCATGCTGGAAGAGCAACGAAGTTCACAAATTATAAGAGAACTGAGGTCCAAAATACCAGAAGGTGCATCAGGATGTTCTCAACAGAGAGGAGCAGGGCAGAGGCAGATGTCAGCTGGGAACTGGATCCAAAAATTTACAGCCAGGCCAGAATGTGTGAGAGAAAGCACACAATCAAGGGAACAAGCGCAGAGAAGGGAGCCAAGCAGCTGAGGGACAGGTTGGGTCAGTCAGCCCACTTTACCCTGAGCCTGGGGATAAAAATAGTTTCCAGGTTGTTGATAACATAAGGCTATTGGGGCTTCAGGAATGGCACTGATAAGAATGGGAATGCATTTCGCCCAAGTTTTTAAAATTTGAGAATGGCCTCTTAGGGACTCAAATCTATTTATTCTCAGAGTAATCTGAGGTCTGTCAGCACCCTCGTCCTCATATTTTGATCTCTTTTTACTCAAGATTCCTTCTAGATTTAGGGATCATTTGTTACAAATAGTTAAATGGTACTCTTAGGAAAATTGGGTTGGATGAAATTTGCTGTGTCTGCCTCAGTATTGGTAGAAAACCTCAAAGACAGACCTCAAAGGTCTGTCTAGATCTGGGGGCCAGTGACAATAGAGCCCACAGTTTCATACAGTGGAACAACTGAGTTGTTTTTTTCTTACACATGCCAGTTCTAGGAAACCAGACCAGCCTTTAAGGGAAATAAATATGTATTGAGATAACTTTTGCTTCAAGGAGCAGAAGACTTGACCGAGTAACTCGGTAAGTAGTCATTCCACATTTCTGAGTTGAGAGTGCATTCAGAGGGACATGTGATGCTGTATTGCCCTAGTGTCCAAAGATGGTTGCTCCAGCTCTAACCATGGTGCCTCTGCTCAAGGCAAAAAAGGAAAGACAGTGGCTGGTACCAAAATGGGTAAGCTGTTGCAGCCAGATCTGAGTCAACACTACTTACGACAGCCCTGGAGGTGTGTATGTTATGTTTCCAGCTTGTAGGGTGGCGGTAGTTGAAAGAAGGGGTGGGAATGAACTTGCCTAACAGTGACTACCACACCTTTCTAAAACACAGGTCCAGCAAAGGGAAGCTATTAAAATCTAAAGGCAACTTGTTTGTTTGACTTGGGTACTTTTACTGTGTTTTCTTATTTAAATGAAACTGCAGAGCATGCCATAACAGCCTCTGAAAAGTGGTAGGGCTTAGAGTTTCAGAGGCTTTCCAAGCACTCCCTGAGCCAGCAACTAGGAATGTTACAAGTAGTTTTAAAAATTGAATATATCTACTGACTTATCTTCTTATTGTTTTTGACTTATTTTTTCATAAAAGAATTTCATATGAACCATTATAAATTAAAATTAGAGTGCAAGAAGCCCAAGGAGCATGAAGCTGGCCGGAAGCAGGGATCTGCTAGAAACACATTTCTCCTTGAGGTAACTAGGGACTACAGGTGGGTGGCAAATTTGTCATTCATCTCTTTATTTGTCAAAAAAGAAAGTCACAGCAATTCCAAACACAGTTCCTGGGAAACATAAAGGAAAAAACAGAACAAGTTTTGTTCCGGGCATAAAATAGGAAACTTCATCCATTTGGTTCCCTTACTTGAGCATCTTTTTCCCTTATCTTTGGCCTTGTGGTTCCGCTCAAGGAGACCTTGTTCTGGTCCTTTAGCTGTAGGAGGAATGGGCTCTCCTGTGACCTGGAGTGAAGCACAGTACAGAGCAGGAATCAATCCACAAGACTGTCTTCGCTCCAGTGTGGCTTCAGCCTATCCATTTGTGACTGGCCTTCACAGCTGCCTGGCCACTAGGAGTGTCATTTCCTCCCAGTACTTTTCCTACTATGGGGAATTATATTATTATTATTATTATTATTACCCAGAGATGGAAGTTTTGCTTTCCCTTCTTTCTTGAACTAAAGGAAAAGGAAACATACATTTATTGAGAATCTATAAGATGTCAGGAAATGGCTCATTTGATCTCGCTTGGCTAAGGGCAGAGCACATTGCAGTTGGGTTCAGTTGCGAGGCCAGGCCTGGAGGGAATCAGTAGCAGAGGTGGGATGAGCTTGCACCTGACACTGAAGCCCAGGTCCCTCCCATGACGTCACTTAAAGGAATTTTGCATTTTCATAAAACTCAGGCTACTGTCAGAATGTGAAGTTAGACCACTCTGATTCTGATTCCCTCTACTCCCCTGCTAACTTCTCTGAAGGTGCACCGGGAAGACTCCTAGGCACGGGGTAAGGACTGATCATGATTTCTTACTATTTTGCTCATGGCTGTGTGACCGTGGGTAATTTACTGAAGTCTTCTCAAAGCCTAGTTTATTTACCTGTCAGGTAGGGGCAATGATTGTGACCCCAGTATCTTCCTGGTAATAATGACAAGACTGGTACTATACCACAGTCAGATTATTTCCACTTCGTTGAAAGTGCTTTGGAAAAATTATAAGCTTTAATCACATTTAACACATTGCTTTTTATTTATTACTGTGACCTCAAGATGCTGTAACAGAAAGAATTCTTCCCCTTTGGTTTGCAGCCACAGAGTCACTTTTTAAGGCAAATCTGGCTGTCTCATGGGGAAGGAAAGAGAAATGCTTTTTGACTGAGATGTCTTACAAAGCTGAGTGCTGACTCCACAGCAGCCTGCCCTTCACAGTGCTTACCACAGTGCTACAAAGAAACACTGGTGTGCCCTCCCTCTCCTGAGCCCAAGAGAGGCCACCTTCAGTCAAAGCTGATCCCTGGCATTCATTGTAGGACTTGGTGTACATCAAGAGAAATTGGGGACTTTAATGTTGAGAAGGCACTTAGGCAATTTCTTAAGGCTAGAGGAAGTTTTGTTTTTGTTGTTTCCCCTAGCAGATTATCACCTGCCTGGTCCTGGAAGACTTACTTTCGGATGAGAAGCTTTGAGGGTCATGCCAGAGGCATTTTTCAAAAAATCAGATATTTCCTAAGGCTGAGCCTACTTATAGCTATAAAAGGAAGGACTTTTGGTGGAGAATTCAGAGGAATTGTGGATTTGATGTGTCTGAAATGACAGTGTTTCAGTGTCTCCTGAAAAAGGGAACTGCCCATAGACCGCAGTTACACAGACCCATGGCACCCGAAATCATATCTGTATCTGTGGGCTCATGGACTCATGAGGTTTAGTTGGAATCTCTGAACAGAGTTCTCCAGGAAGAGGACAACAGTAGAAGCCACCTAATCCTCACACTGATCTCTTAGTTCTATGCCTAGTTTATTATGGGGCACTAACCATCATTCAGCAATATGTCAGGCAGTTTAAGCTACTTCCCATTCCATACAGCCCTCTGGTCCTCTGCCTCATATAATTTCAAAGACTCAAAAATAAGCCAGTAAGTAGAGACAGCATTTTCTCTTGTTTCCTTCACCTTCTCTTTCCTTTCCCTCCTGTCACTCTCTCATCTTCCCTCCGTCCCTCCCTCTGTCCCTTCCTTTGTCCCTCCCTCCTACCCTCCCTCCTTCTTTTCCTATCTTCTTCCTTCTTCCTATCTTCTTTCCTGTGTGGCTGCAAACCAAACTCAGCACTTGTACCTGGAATCCAAGAACATATTCTTGGCTGTGGTCAAGAAATGAAATTTGAAGCATGGTCCTCCCGGCAGGACATCCTAACCACTAAGTAGTTTAGGGTGATATACGTTCCCAAGTCTAAGAGTACTGGGCTGACTCTCAAAAGAAAAATGAAAACATCTAACAAAGACAGTAGAAAAAAACTCTTTTGACTGTGCAGTCAATCAAGCAATGGAATAAACTACTTAGGGAACATAGACATGTTCAGAAGAAAAGAGAGATGGAGCACATGTGCCCATTGTCCTTATTAAGTAGCGTTTGTTGTGTGTGGACAGGGTATGAGGAAGCCTTCCAAAGGCTTACACACCTCCATTCCCATGAAGAGATGTAGAAGGAGCAGTCCTTGGCAGCTAAGGTCTCTGGTAGAACTAACGATTCTAGAATATCCTGCTAGCAGTCAGCTTCAGTGAGGCATTTACAAACTTGGAGATACTTTCTGTTCACAGAGTCATCTCAGGCTGGTTATGGAAACAGCAACATTAGTTACTGTTGTGATTATTAATGGTAACTAATGACATGTTGAATTTACCATTTCATGTATTACTCTACTTGGTTCCATTTTAGCTAATTACAAATCAGACCCACATCCTGCCTCATGGCCATTTGATGGGGAGCACTGTACTGGGGGTGCATCTAAATAATGATTGATGTTGTCTCATTTTGAATAGAAACAGTGGTTAATAGAGAGTAGTACAAATAATGAGAATGAACTGGAAGGTTGTATGAGGGAGAGAATGGTAGGAAAGGTCTAGAAAGGCCCCTTTTGTCTGAATCTTATTGTATTAGAAGGGGGAGACTGGATTTTTAAATCTTTGCATCAAAAGCCTTTCTCTTTAGAACAAGTAGGGACAGAAACAGGAACATATTTTAATCACTTCATTGCTTCACAGAAGAGCCATCTTCCTGATTCCCTTTTTTGGTTATTTTCAATACCAGCATAAGCTGGTGTATAACCTCTTTAACAGTCATTTTCAACCTCTGCATCTGACCTAACATCCGCATGACTATTAGATGTACCTGTCACAGTGCATTGCGAAACTTGGATTGGTAGCCTCCACTGATTCTAAAGCTAAAACACCATATGACATCTGAAGCCTGGAAGGAAGATCTCTCCACTTTGCTGTAGTGCTGCCTACTTCATGTCCCACCACAGTTTTTCCAAATATTTATTTATGCTGTTCTTTGTTATGTGGCTATAAAAGTTCCTGAAAGCTTTTGCATGGTAGAATCTACCAGTCAGAGTCATTTGAATATGTGTTCCTAGGTCGTGATCACTCAAATTTAGCTCAGAATGGAGTATTTTCTTTTTCTTAAGGCAGAGTTGTTGAGTTGTTTTGTTTTTGTTTTTTCCAAACCAACAGACAACTAAGCTAAACTTTTGATGGATATTTTCATTAGCTCTGGTGCTCAGACTT